TTGACTCCCTAATTGCAGCAGCTTCAGCACTACACCACTACACATGGCGTACAACCATTCGTACGTCGAGTAGCCTGGCTCGAACCTGCACACTCCTGCAAGGAATTGCACACATGTCGAGCACCAGGAACCACCATTAACGACGCCCCAGTACCCGAGTTTCCAAATTGTCAATTACTCTTTATTCACATGTTCAACAAACGGAAACACCTGCTCATCAAAGACTACATGATGAGATATATAAACTCGTCCATCCAGTGCTAAACATTGATATCCTTTATTACTCGTATTGTAGCCCAAGAAAAACAAGGTTGTGATATGTACGCAATCTTATATGGCTGAAACGAGCGCAAATGAGGGAAGCACCTGCAACCAAACACCCTCAGGTGATCATACGTTGGACGTTTTCCAAACAACCTCTCAAAAGGGGCACACCCTTGAAGTACCTTGGTTGACAGCCTATTAATTAGATGGGTTGTCGTTACAACTACAAACGACCAGAATTTCAAGGTAGCGAAGCTCAAGCAAGCAGTGTCAATGCCATCTCAAACACGTGCATATGCTTTCGTTTCACAACCTCATTCTGCTAGGACATGTGTGGACATGTCACCCGATGCTGAATCCCGCAACGTGTAAGCACAGCTGACAAGGAACGAAACTCACCTCCCCAATCACTCTGCACAGCTTTAACCACTTGGCCAAATTGTGTATGCACTAACTGCTGAAACAGCTGAAACGCTCAAGCTGCGTGTCTTTTTTCCTTCAACAAGTACACCCAAGTTGTCTTGAAAATGCATCTACAAACGACACGTAGTATCAGAATCCGTTTGACACAATATGCCCCAGTCCCCATAGGTCAGTAAATACTAGCTGAAACAAAAATTCGTATCGAGTTTCAGATGCAGTAAACGGAAGCTTGTGGCTTTTACCCATATGACATGGAACACACGTTGGGAGCAACTCTTTATTTATATTACTTGGAAAAGAAATATTACAACGTTTACAAGCTTGCATTAACACCTTATAGGTTGGATGACCCAACCGATCATGCCACAGTACATAGCTACTACTACTAGATTCATGAGCCAGATTCGCTTCAGCACTTCGACCACGACCAGCTTGAAAACTTCCAAATTCATATAAGCCACTAGCTTCTCTTCCTCGCAGCAACACATCGCCAGATTTCTCGTCTCGAACCACAGTGATCAGCATGAAACTCCAAGAACACTTTATTATCCCTAGCGAGATTGGATACCGATATCAATTTCTTAGTTATTGAAGGTACATGTAGTAAATCACTTAAAATTAAGGAGTGAGCTGCACTATGAACAGAGGTCTGACCAATTTTAACAATTGAAAGGCCTGTACCATTGCCTATCATTAGCTTACCAGCGCCTGTGTAATCTGAACCAACTGCAACTTCTGCAGCATCAGAGGTAATGTGATGAGTGACGCCTGAGTCTACAAACCACGAGGTATGAGAAGGACTTGTCGCAGCTACATTTGCAGGTGTTCTGAGTCGATCTTGACTATCCAAACCTGCTGCATTTACGCTTGGATTGTTTGCACAGTCACAAACACTTGAATTATAATAACACACATTAGCCGAACGTAACCTTTCCTTGTACGAGCTCCTCATGTCTGAATCATCTACACCAGAGAACGACTTGTCGAACCTTTACCAACACCGATTGACCAGGTGACCATTTTTCCCACATAGCTGACATTGAACCTTGGCATGTCCTCGACCACGACCAGCCTGATTGTTGTAGGATGTGTGTCTATCTATCTTGCCGTGATCTTGACGAGCATATCGATCATACTTATCACCCACAACACTCTTCGCCTGTGCTACACTAGCTGCAACAGCTATACTGTCAAAGCGAGTAAAATTTTTCTACTGAGTCTCAGCATCGATAAGCACTGAGACTACTCCTTCCAGCGTCAAAGCATCCCGACTAGCCGATAACACGGTTACAACCAGCCTGTACTCTGCTGATAAACCATTCAAGATTATGGCAATGTGCTCAAGATCGGACACCGGGCTGCCACACGACGCTAATGCATCACATATTTCTTTAATCTGAGAGATGTACACGTGCATTCCTGAGTCACCCTGATTAACTGCCTTAAGCTGATAGTGCAAGTTCATCACTGCCGTCGTCGATTTACAAGCAAAAATCTTGTTTATAGTATTCCATACCTGTGCAGCCATTTCTACCCCCACAAGATGCGACAGTAGCGACGGACTAACCGTAAACAACAACCACGATGCCAAGGCACTGTCTTGAGCCACAAAGACCTCGTGATCTTCATTCTCAGCTACCGTGCCATCATCCAATATGACCGTCGCAGGCGGAGGAGTAACCAAGCCAGATAGCAGCTTCTCAATACGGTGACTTCTCACCGTTAACAACACTTGTTGTTTCCACAACAGAAAGTTCCGATCGTCTAAAACAACGCTCAATCGTTTGTTGGTGAACCCTTTCGAAGAAGGCCCCAAGCAGTCAGAACTACTCACAACAGTACTCGGAAGTGGGGAGATTGGAGGCGTCATAGCAGCGACGTATAGTCAGCTGATAACGAACCGACCTTCACCACGCCACTGAACAACCAGCATCTGATACCATGTTGTAATTCATACTAGAACTTGTTAGAATGTTAAGAAAAGTAATCAAGCTTGTCGTTCATCAAAGGAGAGTACACCACGCTTTTATACAAGAAGGCTTGTACACAGCCTTAACAACTTGGCTAACAACCTGATAACTAACCTCTAACAGTTACAACAATCTAACTAATCACCAACTAATTCACACAGCTTACACACACACAAAGCTACCAACGCAGTATGTACACCACACCTATACATCAACACGACTTCTTCCATACATCGCTTATTCCCTGGAGGTTGGTAATCCTCCAGCTTGATGTTTGGTTGTTTGCAGTATGGATGGTGTGAGTTGTTCCAGGCAGATTTCCTGGAGCCTTCAACTTCTATTTAGTATGCTGCCTTTGTCTTCTAGAAGAGAGTCAAAGGCTGTTGCATTTCTTGTGAACCAAATATTCCATAGTATTGCGTCGAAAAGGATGTCCTAGTTTTGATTCTCGATTCTAGGTTATTTGGTTCGTATAAGTTCAGCTGAACCCAGTTTTGGATATCCACTTAAAGATACTCATCTAGTTTTTCTGCTTCGATTAGCGATGACCAGATTCCGCGAACTGATGGGCACCATCGAAACACATGATCCAGGTTTTTAGGAGCTGCTGCACATAGTGGACAACTCGAGTTCGTGCAGAGGTGCTACACACTTATTCCACATTTTTCATGATCTTGTTGGAGCATTCTAACCATAGAAATTTTCACCTTTGTATCCCTCTATATTTGTGAATAGTTCTCCACAAATTTTCGCTTCATTTGACATTCGGACCACAACGAATCTCATAAGTTGTTTTGACTGAACCTCTTATCTTCGCGCTCTTTCCAAGTGAGTCTTCTGCTAACGATGGGATTGGGCCTTTAATGGCTACTAAGCGGAGAAGGATCTGTGTAGGTAGTGCATGTTGGATTTTCGTCCATTGCCAGCATCCATCATATCTGCAATTTTCTCATCACCAATTTCTGGCAGTAGGCAAGGTGTAACATAGGATACTAGTAGGTTGGTTCCCATGATCCACAAGTCGCGCCATAAGTCTATTGTTTTTCCGCTTTCTAGGCTCCAGGTAACACTTACGCGGACTCATTCCAAATCGTACCAATCCCCTTCCAATGACTGGAGCAATTCTTGTTCGGCAATATAGTCGATATCCTTTCATGACACTTATACTTTACCCTGAGGAAGAGCACACATAAAGCGTCTTTGTTGGCTATTTATCTCATATTTATATAAAAATATTTAATTATTACATATTTTTAATACTTAGTAATTTTTTACATCTAACCGTATAAATTGAATTGGATGAAGGACGAGTTAATAGTATATATTCTTGATAACAAATTGATAAACTTGAATTTAGGATAAGTTTAATGTATTTAGATTTTAATATTTAAAAAAATTAAAATTACTATATAACTTCTTGAAAATCAATTGAGATACTAAAATGTACTTATCATTTATATATTTAAATTTAATTTAAAAATATTTAATATTTTTAAAAATTAAAATTTATATTTCATAAATAATATTAGCTATAGATCATCATAAAATTTTATATTTTATTATAATTTAAATAGAACATTTGTTACAAATATTACCATAATAATAACAATAATACTCAAAAATGATAGTACTTTATATTTAAGTCAATTATTTTATCAGTTAATATATTTTTATTTATTTATAAAACTGTATGCGATTTTAATAAAAATATCTACAATATAATTTATATTTTTAAATGTAATCAATCGTTTGAAATTTTTTAAAATTAATATCTTCATTAAAATAAATATTTTGATTTTTATAATATTATTTTTGAACATTAATACTTTATTAAAAATTAATTTTAAAAAATAATATTAAACAAACCTTTTGACACAAAAATGATTACATTATTTTTTAAAAACCTTTTTAAAGATAAAAGTTTTATTTTATTATTTAACAAAATTCTTTGCCATTTTATTTAGAAACTTGTTGTTTTCGCGTTGTTCGAAAACTGTGAGAAAAAGGTAAAATTTATATTTACGTACCGTAGAGAAATTACGGTCTCATGCCATACCACTGCCGGCAACCGCCCTTTTTTTACAAATCACGGCCTTACGTCGACGATGAGAGTCGACTGGGACGATCCTCCTGAAGAACCAAAACAGCCGGAGCAAGATTCTAACATCAATTTCGACTTTCTTTCCATTGTTTCCAAGCCCAAGGTAAATTAAATCCCAAGGGTTAAAAATAAAATGTTCGCGTAAATTTTAAAAGAACAGAATATTTCGAAACCGTATTGTGTTCTGAATTGCTTGTGTAAATGCAGGATTATTATAAGATATTGCAATTTGATTGCGATGCTACGGAGGATGCAATTAGCTCTAATTATATCCGTCTTACGCTGGTTCGATTTTTTTTTCTTTTTTCAAAAGCTAAATTTATTTCATATATACATATTCCTTCTTTGTTGCTTATTAGTTTGAGGTTGTTTCTGCAGAAATGGCATCCAGACAAGCAAAAAGACGATGAGAATAGCGCCACTTCAAGATTTCAAGAGATAAACGAGGCTTAACAGGGTAACTATCTTACTTTTGCTCTCATTTCTTGTTTTCGGTTTATGTGTTCGCCTGCTCTTTGAGTTTTTTCCCCTTTACTTCATTCTCCTATAAGGGTTTTCTGTATTCGTTTCATAATTTTGATGTTGCATAGTTTTTGTCTAATCATTTGTGTTAGCGAACCATTTAATTTATGCTATATATATCTTCCATATTCTGCATTTTTTTTGAAAGATTCTGTTCACGTGTGCCTTTCTGTTGTTGATGTGTTCATTATATGGCTATTTCAAACAAAAAAGAAAACTTATCCCGAATGAGAAACAGATGAGGATTGTAAGCAACGTTAACATCAGAAAATGAGTTTAGGTCATTATTAGTTAATTTCCAATCATAAGTCGTTGCATCTTGTTAATTTTTATTTGCTCTTGATTGATCTTTGCTTGTAGTTTACAAATTCATGGCCTATCCTTCATATGGATTTATTTGAATGAATAAGGTGTTTGCTCATATGTCTAGTATGCTCATTGTATACCCATGAGCAAGGATTTTAAATTAGGCAGATATAATTGGACTTGCTTCAAATATCTTCATGATTAGTCTTTAGTTTCAGGTAAAACATTTTCTTTATTTTCATGCATTTCAACAAGGATGCACAATAACTTACTCTTACGAAACGTGTTTGCAGTATACCTGCTATAATCAATACCATACCATGCACCCCCCCCCCAAAAAAAAAGAAATGTTTAACTGTACTAGTACAAAGCGTCATTTATAACAATAGTTTATGAAATTATGTTGTGTTTAAAGTTGCCACACTGTTAATGCCATGCATTTCTCTTTCTTAATGAGTTAAAGTTTTGCATGGTTGAGATAGTAGCTAGCAAATCTATGATCATGTTTTGTCTACTGGCATGAATTGGCAAATTGAGTTTATATGCTCAACGATAGTTGTAGACTTGAAACTATAGTCTAACTTCTAACATTTGGTTAAAAAAGTATGAAGTACTAAGAATATTGATATGCATGTGAAAATGAATTTGAACTTAACCATTGGGTAGTTTGCCTTCATTTAACAGTTCTCATTGATCCAGTCAAAAGGAATGAGTATGACAAGATGAAGGTATTGTATGCATATGACTATGGCATAATTGTAAGAATTTCTTCCATCATGCTTTGAAGTATTTATACATATACTTCCATATGCCTGGATTGCTTAGGTTTTAAGTTCTAATTCACTGGCTGCAGGAGTACCTTAACCATTACAAAGGCCTTATATTAACATGTAATGGTCTTGGGGTTAGGCAATCGATTTGGTAATTCCCTTCTGTTTATTGTCACAATGCTCAAACTGAGAGGGACAGATTTGTTGATATTACAAACAACGCAGTTGAGATGAGAACAAGCTTGATATGTTAGATATCAGTTGTGTATATGAAGTAGAGAAATTCGGATTATCTGTAACATCTTATGCTTATCTGACTAATGAGGGTATGACCAAATGTCCAAAGCATGCTAACACCTTGTTAATTTACTAGAGTTCTAGTACTCATTTACTCTTTAGGCAGGACCTTATGAGCAAATATTTATGGAACCAATTTACTATTACTAGCTCGTTAATACGATGGCAAGGGCTTTTTGTATTTTACTTGCTTGGTAACTTGTTAGATCAAACACTAATATTAGACTAGTGAGTGGCTTAAATTTACCCAATTCAAGTGAGAAATAACTTGTTTACTTAAACAAACCCAATGTAAAAATGATGATGATATTTACATGCTTTCTAGCATATTCAACATTTACTGACATGAAATTTGAATTGATTTTGAGCAATATGTATTGGGAAATCAGTGCTTTCAAATTGCGTTAATTTCTAAAATGGCAAAAGTAACTTAAGATCCAGGACCATGTAGAAATGAAACTTACAACTGCTCTAATTGTCCTTATTAATAGGCGCTAGACCATTTTATAATTAGTTAATTGCTTATTATATTGCTTGCCATGCTTTCTTAATGCAAATCTATGCAAATTAATAGAAGGCATTTATATGAATTGATGGTTACAAATAGAATTGAATTGGACAAATTTTTTATTTTTTCATACAAATGTATACAAGGTATTTACACTCATTGATAGTTATGAATATTATTAAACTAGTTTTCTTACATCTATATTAAAATATATTTTAATAATCATATTTAATTTTTAATCTTAATTAAATTATAATGACAGTTGTTGGAAATCTTAGAATTAAGGAATAAAATCTACTTCCTTATTTTTAGGAGTTAACCTAGTGTAAATATGTCTCTAATTGTAATTCTTAATTTTTAGGGATACTTTCCTATTTTTGTACTAATCCTTCCTTTAAACTTGTAATGTGATGTTAGAGAAATATCAGAATCATTATTTTTCTCAAATCTGTTCATGGCATCAGAGCTGTAGGGATTTTCTGATCCATTCTACTTCTTTAGTTTTCTCCTGTGTCTTGTTTATCTATCATGGTAAACACTGGAAATATTTCTAATTCTGAGACTTCACAAGTAACTCAGAGTGTCAATCAAGCACTATCTAATTGTGATGTTAATTCGTCCCTTATAATCACTAATCACCGATTGGATGAGAAGAATTTTTTACAGTGGTCCCAATCGGTATTCATGGTGATTCGAGGCTGTGGGAAACTAGGATATATCAGTGAAAAATTCCACATCCTTCCCTTAGTGATCCTACGTATGTTATGTAGGAACTCAATAATTCTATTGTCATGGTCTGGCTAATTAACTCCATGGAGAGTCACATAAGCCGAACATACCTCTTATTCAAGACTGCAAAAGAATTGTGGGATGCAATCAAGGAGAACTATTCTGATCTAGGAAATGCTTCTCAAGTTTTTGAAATCAAGCTAAAATTAAAAGACATTCAGCAAAGAACTTTTGAAGTTACACAGTACTACAACAACTTAAAAGTCTTATGGCGGGAACTCGATATGTACTATGAAGTGGACTGGGGTGAGGCTTGGAGCACACCAAGTTCATGTCACATCTCAATAAAGAACGGCTCTATGAGTTCCTAGCAGGGCTGAACCGAGACTTGGACGAAGTACGTGACCGTATTTTGGGTAGGACCCCTCATTAAACCATTGGATAAGCATTTGCAGAGGTTTGGAGAGAATAAAATCGTCATCGAGTGATGATGGGATATTCCAAGGAACCAAAACCCGTGACCAATTCTGGTCATAGTCCTATGAATCATCTGCCTGGTCTCAAAGGGCCCTCAATCTCAAAAGAATCGAGCAGGGAATGATTCAAAACTGAGTTGCTCAGGAGATCGACTATGGTGTAGCTACTGTAACTATACTGGTCACACAAAGGAGAAATGTTTCAAGCTCCACGATTATCCTGGTACAATAAAAATTCAAAAGGAAAATAAGGCTCTTTTATCCTTGGGCAGCTCATCCACAGCGACCCCTATACCTACTGAAGCTATGCAGGATGTTCGCCTAACAAAATCCCAACTTGAAACTCTTTACAAGTTACTTGGTGCACCAATAAGCCATGGTTCCTTGGCTGTTCAACATACTACTTTTAATATTACTTCTGAATCTAGTAATCATCCATCCTAGATTCTAGATTTGGGAGCATCCGATCACATGACAGGTAATTTATCACTATTTCATATGTATGCCCCCTGCCACTGTAACACCCATAACCCGTATAATTATACATATACAGATTATAGATATCATCCGAATTTCGAGAACCATTTTCAATCCAAAAGTGATTTAAATTTTATTTTCTTAAAATGATATATGATATTATAAAATATCATATCATATGAATTATGTTTCATTATAATAAATTTAAGGTAAAATATTTTTTATGAATAGTGAATAGTGTACCGATGCATTGCTACAGTAACGTGAATAGTGTACCGAGGCACAAAAAATTCAAACTTAAAATCTGTATCGATGCACTGCTATAATAATTTCTGAAAAATACATAAAACTCATAAAAACTTAACATTTCTTAACTATAAAGTTATCATTTTGTTTCCAAATTTGTTCAAAAAAATAAATTGAACATTATTAATTACATGCCACTATCTAAGTCAAATTACATCATAGGATGTCTTACTGATATTGAAATATACTCCTCAATGCTTGATGTCATTCCAAAATCTTTACTCTACTACTGGCTTTTTACCTACGCGTGAAAATCATCACACGCTAAGTATATACTTATTGAGGCAATTAAAACAATAAACAGTGCAATACAATTCATGCATGAATTTCAATGTCAAATTCAAAATGCCATAAAATCATGTTATTTGCATATCCCATATTTTACCATGATCAAAATAATATAACATTTCTTATAAATAAATTTACCATTTATCCCATAAGCTCGTAAGCTTATTTTATCAATATACTTACCATTATTCCATAAGCTCGTATGCTTATTTTACCAATATACTTGCCATGATTACATAAGCTCGTAATTTTATTTTACCAATATACTTGTCATTAACCTCATTTATCAATCATTATTGGAATTCATGCATTCTATAGGAAATTCATACAATTCATCTAATTTTCTTTTAATATTAGCACTCTCAGTGCTCTATCTGGAAAATCATACGCTTAGTATGCTTCCCCTTTCATTTTAGCACATGGAGTGCCCTATTCAAAAATTCATACCATTAGTATGATTTTGTTACCATTTTAGCATATGAAATGCCCTATGTGAAAATCCATACCATTAGTATGATTTCCTTATCTTTGTAGCACTTTATCTGGAAATCTATACACTCAATATGATTCCCTTACCATTTTAGCACATAAATGCCCTATCTGGAAATCCATATTTTCAATATGATTTCCTTATTATTTAGCACACTCAGTGCTCCATTGGAAATCTATACACTCAGTATGATTTCCCTTACTATTTTAGCACACTCAGTGCTCCATATGGAAATCTATACACTCAGTATGATTTCCTTATCATTTTAGCACACAAAGTGCCATTCGGTAATCCCTATACATACATTATTAAATTATGTTATTTTAACTATTACCACATGTATGTACATAATTAAATGCACTCACCTTGACACTTTATAATTTCCAAAATATGTGTCTCACTATTGTTCATAGTAAGCCCTTTTATACTTGACTTGCTTCAATCGCAAATCAATCTTGATCTGTATAAATCACAAATTCATAATAATACATATGTTAGTACTGTACTAACATAAACATATCCCATAACAACTCCATAATACACTTGAACTCATTTTCTATCAAAATACTCAATACTTAATAATTCCTATTAATATTGGAACCAACTTTTCTAATTTACTCAAAATGGTCTCTTACCATTTAACTTCAATTCCAAGCATCCAAAAATATATTCAACATTTAAACATTACTCTTCATCTTCTAATCCCTTTCCACTTAAATTCTAAAGTTTCCATATTCAAACAATTTGGCTACCTTTAAAGAATCAGTATTCTGTATTGATATACACACGAGAATTTAATTTCGTTTCTTCTCTTGAAAACTATACTCGAATACGAATCTATCCATATAAAGAACTCCTAATTCATTTTGTACAATTTATGGTGAATTTTCAAAGTTGACCAACATAATCTGTTTTGTGTAGAATTCCGCTTCCCGATTTTCTGACCTTTCCTCGGTTAAAAATTCATATCTTTTTGTATACTCCTTGAAATCGATCTTCGTTTGTTTTAAACAAAACTAGATCGATATATAAACACAAATATATAGAAATAACCTCGAAATTATTTTTATATAATTTCTGGTGAATTTTTGAACTCACTGCCAAATTCAAAATCTAAACTATTTTCTTTAACTTCATCCTTAGGTTCTTTATCAATTCTTACAACCGATTCTTTAAAATCACTTAACTCTTCATAACCCATAAAACACAAGAAATCAACATCCCCTTCATCAACTCAAGATGAACTTGAACACCAACAAGATTATCATGCAATATTGGTACCAAATGATAGCGTTTTTCGCATATAACAATTTCTATTTCACATCATACTAAAAATCCAAATGAATTTGCTTGAAAATGAAATTGAAGCTTTCTCTCACCTATGAAGAAACCCACATCTGCTTGGAGAAGAAGATGAGCAATTTGGATGAAATGTTGGGTGCATTTCATCTTTATTCACCATAAAACCATGACAACTCATCCTTATCATCTTTCAAAGTCAAAGAGGAATTAATTTGACTTTGATTTCTGAAATTTCCCATGAAATTTTCAAAACTTGCGTTTTAGTCACTAAATTCCATTGTTTCAGTTAAATATGAAAAATTGCACATTTTCAAAACAAATTTTTCTGATCCAAAATATTAAAATAATACTTCCAACCATTTTAGAACATCCTTCAATTTTTTTTGTAAAATTCCAATTCGCTCTG